GTATGGGGCTGTTGCGCCAATGAAGAAGATGAGCTTTCTTAAATCAAGCTGATGGGCTAGTATTATTAAATCGGCGCCACTAGTATTAAATCCATATGATTTTTAGTTAGCCCTGACCGTCAAAAAGGCACGTGTATAAATTTGACAGCTGTTGCACTATTAGCAACTTTTGTTAGTTTGAAAAAATGGATGAATAGGAAAACACTTGTGTTAATAAAGCATTGCTTTTTGACGAAAAAAAAAATACTGTTGAAGCCACGGCTTGGCTCGATAAATATTATTCGGAGGAATTCTCCAGGAAAATCAATCGTAGAAAGTGGTTTGCTAAATTTAAAAGGGGCGAAATGAGCACCGAGGACGATGCACGCAGTGGACGCCCCAAAGAGGCTGTTACCAACGAAAACATCAAAAAAGTCCACAGAATAATTTCTGATAACCGTAAAAATGAAGTTGATTGAGATAGCTGAGACCCTAAAGATATCAAAGGAACGTGTCGGACATATCGTGAATGAATATTTGGCTATGCGAAAGCTCTGTTCAAAGTGGGTGCTTCGCGAGCTCACAATCGACCCAAAACAACAACCAATTGATGATTCTAAGCAGTGTTTGGAGCTGTTCAATCGTAATAAACCCCAATTTTTGCGTCGATATGTGACAATGGATGAAACATGACTCCATCATTTCACACCGGTGTCCAATCGACAGTCAGCCGAGTAGACTGCACGTGAGGAACACTAAAAATGCTACAACTCACATACTAATAGCGCAACAGCTATCAAATTTATACACGTGTCTTTTGAAGGTTAGGGCTAACTAAAAATCATATGCATTTAATACTAGTAGCGCCATCTATGCGTCAGCCTACGAACTTTTCAGCTCACCTGTTATTTATTGTTGGGAAGAAAAAAATTTGTGGCTCTTTAAAACTTTGAAATTTTGTAAATTGCCATTTTTGGCTCTTCCGACTCAAAAGGGTGCCGACCCCTGGTCTAAGGGGATACCTTTGAAAAAGATCAGGGAAAGCTTTATTCGGACATGGCATTGAAAATCTACATTGATTCTTTCCAGGAGATTTTTAATACACTAAGGTGATTTTATCATTTTAGTTGAAGGTTTGACTTGAACAATTATAGATTTATTATCATTTGTTTCATAAGTAACCATGTAAAGGTTTTGGATTTTTTTAGAAGCTCTGACAGGTATAGTTATCGGCGAGAGGGTCTTGCTTCTTGACAATTTGGTGTTTCATGGCATGATAAATTGATTAATCTTACTAACATTTTGTGTTTCTGAGTGAGGACGGCATCTATAATTATGTGTCGTTGACATCAAGCAGAAGAGTAGAAATTATAAATAAAGATCTGGTTTAGGAAATTAATCTTGTAAATTGTTTGCAATAGCTCATTATTTTGCTAAGAATATTTAAGGTCGTAAATATCCTTCTTAAATTTTTTTTTTTTTTTTTTTCATACTCCTCTTATTTAGATTTAAGTTTGTGCATTTCTTCACAAATATTTTGTATCCTGATGGCCAATCGGCTAACCCTCTGGTCTTTGGTACAACAACCTACAAGTTCGAATCCTGTCGCACAGGTGTTTGTTAGTCATTCAGAATCCACCTTAATCTGTAGTTGGATTAATCGGTAGGTGGTCTAATTAATAAAGTGTGCTTAAATTGAACGTAGAGAAACAAACCAAAACAATCACAAGTATCTTTTAGAGCAGAGCATTTTCATAATTAGTTATTAGAGCAGCCAGTGTGCTTTTTTTCCTCATAGCTATCGAAAACCAGTATGAAAGGATTATAATATGAAGTTTCGTTTATTAATATCGGTTTATCTGTGGTACCATCGGTTTCTGTTTCAATTAATAATGCACATAAGTTGAAGTCTGTTTTTTTTTTTTTTTACATTTAAAAATTTACTCGAACGGTTAATAAAAAACACCATTTTGAGCTTATACTAATTTCTGTATAATTAAATATTTTTATTTATTTACTAAACTTTTTGTTAAAAAGAACAGCTCTAAAAATTTATACAAATTAAAAACGATGCCAAATTGTTTTTTTTTTTTCTAAACATGATACTTTTCAATTAAAAACATAAATGGTGACCTTATCCAGCGATTTTTTAAAACAAAACCCATTAAAATATGCTTCATAATTAAAAATGACTTCATTACTTATTCCTTTCTTAAATATTCTTCCACCAATTAAACATGAAAGAAGTCTGCAGATAAGTGCATGATTATATGTTGGGGCGTTTCCTCTTTAACTCTACAAATATCTTTTAATACAGAGCAATTTCCAAATTAGTTGTGAGAAGTGCTAGTATACCATATTTTATCGTCGCTAGAATTTACCAGTTTCAAAGGATTAGATTATAGAATTCCATTAATTACTATCTGTTTATCTGTGATATGATGTCTGATGGCCGAATGACTAGCGCTCTTGTTAGGGTTTCGAGTCCCATAAATGTCGTGGATGTTTGTAGTGGTAAGGAATCCACTTTAAACCGTAGGTCCCGGTCTAATATAGATGTATAGTGGACATAAAGCTGACAACATTATCCCTAATAAGGAAATTATTTCCTGCCTAGAAATCTGCCTTCTCCCCCACCATGGGGTTGTTGCTCCAATGATGATTATCTGGGGCATAATATGCTTGTTTCAGCCAATAATTATCATAAATCAATGAAAATAATTTTGAATTTTAATTTAAATTTTCGCGAATGGTTAAAAAACACATACGTTTGTGCTTATTTCTTTTTAATTAAATATTTTATAATTATTAAACTTTTGTGTTTTATAGAAAAGCTCTAAAAATACATACAAATTAAAAACGATACTAAATTGATTTTTCAATTCATACTATTAGTTCAAACTCTCCCTATATATATTTATATTTCTTGTTCAAATTTTCAATCGTTCATAAAATACTTTTCTATTCATCCACTCAAGTTCAAATACATTTTTTTAACCTTGTAGTGGATGACACTTGATATTAATAAAATTTTTCAAATATTAATTCAGTATTTAAATTTAATTAATTAAAGAACTGGGCTGCTCAGAACTCACTGGAAAGGTTCCTTGCAATAATGGAGCATTACAAGAGATTGATAGAATGAGAAATTACAAGCCACCATCAGTTTCATAAATTAAAAGAAAACGAAAAAAAAAATAGGAAACGAATAAATACTAACAAACAAACATAATAGTCCAACACCATATATAGAAAGCCAAAATGGAAAATTGCAAAGAAATTCGCTTTCTATTTTGCCACTTAATATTGTTAAGGGGCAAAATATTACACTTAATATTTTTAAGTGTATTTTTAATATATATTAATTGTAATTGTTTCATAAAAAGTAACTAACATAATATTTTTCTTTGTTGACCTAAGTAGGAATGGATTTTAATTTTTGTTTTACTATTACTTGTTTTTCGAAAAAATACTTTTCAATTAAAATCCTAAACGGTAAAAGTATCCAGGGATTTTTAAAAAACTAAATCCATTAAAATATGCTACATAATTAAAAATGACTTCATTACTTATTTTTCCACCAATTAAACATGAAAGAAGATTGCAGATAATTATATGTTGGGGCGTTTCCTCTTTAACTTGGATTTTGGCCAGCCGCATGTTACTTGGCGATGTCGATGACGGACAATTAAGACCAAAATCGATACTAACGATCTATCAGAATCGATATCGTCACAGTAAAGCAAATACACAGACAGAAATTCTAATTTAATGACATTTCTCTTATTGCGATATTATGAGAAGTGTATTTTAGGAAATATTTTTTTAAGTACTTGAAAATGATTTGGGTTCCGTTCCTAGCTACAGAATTGATTTTATTTTATATTTTTCAAACATAATAAATTCATCAAAACTTTTGCAAAATGTTGGGAATGATACGTATATTTTAGAAGCTATTTTTAGTATTCAATTTAAATATTTCTAAAGTATATTTATTGGTTGGTAGATATTGAATTTATAAGGAGTTTTATTTATTAATATATAAATGTATGTGTTTTTTTAAATATATTGAAAAATTAAATAGAATTTAAATATAAAATATAGTTAAACTTTTTTTCTTCACAGTTAGTTATAGTTTTATGGTACAAAATACAAAAAGAAAGCATTTAATTAGTTTTAAATACCGTTGACGGAAATATTTCTTACCATAATGGCATAGTCTAAAACATCATCATATTAAAATCTATGTTGATATTATAATGCCGCTAGCAATGCAGAGACAGTTAATTTTTATGCCATGAGTAAGGACTGCACAGCTGTTACTCATTTACCACTACCCAGGTGGTACATGTACGGCGGAAGATATGCTATGGAAGCAGTAAACTACCCCCACAATGCTCTACGAACCACTACAAACATCCATGATACCTCCGGGATTGAACCCGAAACCTGTAGTACCGAGGGTCAGAGCGCTAGGCCCTCAGCCATCATGCGAAATATTAAAATCTATATTTTTAGTATTATGCGATCTGATATCTTTTAAAATAATAAAATCATGAATTAAATTCGAATTCAGAATAAAATATTAAAGTAAAATTAGACAATAAAGTAAAAAAAGCACTCAGTAATAATTAGATTAATTATAACAACATCGAAAGATTGACAATAAGAAAAGATTAGGAGACGTGGGTATTTCTCTTGGTTCAATAAAGTTAGTTGTTCTGTAAGTTTTTTTTCCAATGCAGCTGGCAAAAAGACATAGACGTCTTTGGATGCCTATAAGGGCTGCACCGATGTTACTCCCTTTGCATTACCCAGGGGCGCATGTAACTTGATGGTAAGCCACGGACGCGGATTAACAATGCCCCGCAGCGCTCTACGATCCTATTAGACTGGGACCTACGGCTTAAAGTGGATTCCGAACCACTACAACACCACCCATGGGCAAAGCCGGGATTTGAACCCGATACATGTGGTACCGAACGCCAGACATTTCGGCCATCAAGCCGCTAAAACTTTGCACTCCCGGCGGGGAGTCGAACCCCGGTTTCCCGCTTGACAAGCGCGGATACTTACCACTATATTACCGAGGATAACGCACGTGCCGAAACCCGGGATCGAACCAGGGACCTTTAGATCTTCAGTCTAACGCTCTCCCAACTGAGCTATTTCGGCACTTGTTCTGTAAGTAGAAACTCACTTTTTTTTTTTAAAATGATTGATCGCAATATTTATTGCCACATGCAAAGGCAGCATGAATGTATGCAAGGCCGGTTTAGGTCTCAGCAGCCAAATCAAATTTAGAAATTGTTGGAAAATAAAGTTCTTCTAATGATTACAAATTCGCCTTAGTAATTCAGAAATTAGTATATTAAAACTTTATTGATCTTCCCAATATTAGACAGTTCGTCTTTAATACCTGTAAAATGTTTTATGACTCTATCCCTTTTGCTGTTTTTAGATACCTCCCAATTTATGGCGTTATTCTATTTGAAAATAGAAAACGTCCTAGAACTGTTCTCCATATCCTCAGTTGGTGTTCTCCCCATAATCTTCTCTTTCTGAAATACCACAGTGCAAGCTCCGCTTGTTGGCAGCTCAATCATCCATTGCAATGTATTAATTATAATTTCCTATTTTCCATTTTTCATACATTCGTATATGTTCCTATTCTTCCATATTTCAAAAGCTTCGTTCAAAAAAGCAGCATGACGTATTTATTTTACATAAGAAAACCGAACAGAATATATATAAAAAGTCATTTTAAACAAACTTCTCTTAAGGGTAAGGTACCCTTTTTTTTCCCTCAAAAGTGCGGGTACCCTCTCTGTTACCTGGAATACTTCTGGACTCTTGACTTTATTTCTCAAACTCTAACTCTTTTATTATCCTAGATTCTCTATATACGGAAACGTTTTCTGCTGAAAGACCTCTATGAAATCTATTTTAAAAAATGTTCCATTTGATCTTTCAAGTTCCCATTCCTTGTTTTTTCTCTATGGAAAGTCTGCCTGATTAAACCAGCATTTCCAAGGAACATGTGCTTGCCGTTTTCCAAGAAATGTTCCCCGTTTTCTGCTATTTATTTTTAAGAATAATTTTAATTTTGCATTTTGCTTCAGATGATGATGATGCCAATCTAATTATTCAGATCTTGGAGGTTAAATCATCAATGACAATAAAAAAAATATCATTTGAGTCTAATATACGTCAAAGAACAACAATCGTTGCATATTCACTTTATGCAAAAAGATAGAATCAAGAGTTTTACACTTCATTATCATAAGACAATCATTTTGTTTTTTTTTTCTGAGCAACGAAAATAATGATGAAATACTTTAATAAAATATATCATTAATAATTATATCTTAATAACATTATAATTCATGATAAATATATCTTATTAATGATTAATAACTGGAATATTTTCTTTTCCATAACAGAGACAAAATTCTAATTTCTACAGAGACAAGAGTCTAATTTCCGCTGTGTATAATTTTTACGTGAACATATTTTTAAATATAGAAAATGATTACAAACGTTACAATAATTTAATGCAAATTTAATTATTTTTTATGTAAATGGCACATAATAAAAATAAGAAAAACTTAATTAAATTATGGAAAAAGATACATGAGAAACTGAATGAGAACTGACAAACTGTTTTCAGAGGAATTTAGAAAATAAATAAACATAATTTCTGACATGTAGATAAACTAAAAATTATTATTATTTTATAATTTTTAATAAGCAATATGCAAATCTTCGACTTCAATACGTGCTGAATTTCTTGTTAATAAAGTTTAAAAAAAAAATACTACAATATTTAATAAGGAAACAATATGGTTACTCTAAGAACTTATTGTTTTGCATAGATAAAAATTACGAAAAAATAAAATTCTTATTACGAATCTATGAAAATAATTGCGTAGTATCGTCAAATACAAAGGATCAATAAAAAGGAAATTTTATTTCTTTGTGATGCTTTAATTTGCTGTTATTAGATGTTCAATTGGTGATGAAAGCAAAATATTTTCCATTAAATGATTTCTATTAGTTTTTAAAAGAATTAAAAATTCAACTTTTGAAGAAATAAAGAAATGAAGAAATTTTATTTCAATTATTTGGAACTATAGATTTTTATTTTTCTATTCTCACTTATTATTATAAAAATACTTATTAGAATATAAAGAATCGTTTAGAATAATATTTAAAAAATTTAACTATTAATATTTAAAATTCTTCTTTTATTGAGTTGAAAATGTATTGTTACAAAAACAATGTATAAAAATATCCGTTTACGTTTTAATTTGCTTCAAATTGCGTACTTGCAAAAAATTGATGGAAATTCAATAATTGTTTTATTTATTAGGTGTTTTAATATATTAGATTTACCAAATTTTATATATATTTTCTAAATATTCCTATTTTTTTTTTCTTCTTATTAGTAACAAAATTCTTCTTTCACATGTTTCTATAAATTGTGTTAAAAATTTACAAGTTAATAAAAATAGATCAAAAGAATGCGAAAGCAAAATCTTTGCGAGATATGAAAAAAAAAATGTATTTCTTTTTTAATGTTTAATTTTTTTCTCTTTTAATTCATAAATAGAAGAGAAAAAAAAATACAAATATAAAATATATATACTGTTATAAATACGGTATTTCCAAATAAAAATTATATAATGAAGTAATACTAAATGGAAAATTGCGTTAAACGCTGACAAAACTGAAGCTATTCTCTTTACTCTCGATCGCAACATTACTTATCGTAACATCCATTGGTCTTTCCAAATTAAATATTTAGGTGTTACTTTTTGAAAAATTCCCTCATTAATCGTATGCATATTAATAATCTAAGAAAAATTGTAACTCTCCTGTTCTTATTTTTTATCCGTTCATTTGTAGAAAATCTGAGCTCTCTATCACGTATAAAATACTCATCTACATGTTTTACATGCATGCCATGATCACATACACAAGTTGAGTTCAGGGCTCTGCAGCCAAATCAAATTTGGAAATCGATTTGAAAATAAAGTTCTTCAAACGATTACAAGTACACCTTGGTACTTCAGAAATAAGGATAGTAAAAACTCTCTTGGCATTAACAATATTAGACAATTCATCTTTTATATCTCTAAAAATTAGTATGACTCTACTCCTTTCACTGGAAACTCTGTTCTTAGAACCTTCTCTAATTTATGGCATTACCCCTTTGAAAACAGAAAGCGACCTAGAAATGTTCTCAATATTTTCAATTAGAGTCTCTCCCTAATCTTCTCTTTCTGAAGTACCTGGTACCAAAGGCTCCAGGTTCGAATTCTGACGGTGCATGGATGTTTGTGAGTAGTTTGGAATCAACTTTCAACTGTAGGTCCCGGTTTAATTAGACCAAAGTGTGCACAAATCAAACTTTCTGAAGTGTCAAACAGCTAGCTCCCCTTCTTGGCAGCTCAATCATCTTTTTTTTTTTTTTTTTTTTTTTTTTTTGTCACTTCAATAATGTTACTTCAAATAGTGTCAGCTAAGGACGGATTTGTTTTTGTTATTTTCAAAGTGAAGTAAATTGCCATTGACACTCATATAATGAGTTTATCGCTGTGTGCACATCCAACATTTTTCAGCAACACTGATTTCAGTCCGTTTCGCGTAACGTTTTGTTTGTGGTTACAAATTTTCTTTCAAGCATTGAAACTTGCCAAAAATCATTATTATTAGAGTGACAAGAAAATTCGTTTTTGTAGTTGCTTCTTCCAGTTTGTGGAAATTCACAAAATAACCCCTTTTGGTAAGCGCTTTAAATAATAAGTTTTATTGTTTATCGTTAAATCTGTAATATCAAAATAATAATAATAAAATAAAATAAATAATAAATACAATAATAATACAATTTGTTTGCTAAAGAAGGAAGGAAGATCATTCAAACAACCCATGCACATCTCTTGTTGTTGTTTTTTTAAGTTATAGGGATATTTGAATCTAATGCTTATTTATTATAGTGTTAGTCGCATCATAAAATGTACAAAAAGTTTTAGTTTACAATTAAGAACTGTTATGAAAAAATAATGTCTCTTTCATTGAGGCTTTATCCCTAAATGCAGATTAAATGCATCAAATGTATATAAAGGAGAAGTAAAAACACAATTAAGAAGATAAAATCTATTCAGGAGGAAAGTTTTTATTTTCTTTTGTTTCTGCTTTATGCAAATGCACTAACAGAAAAAAATTCTATTTCTTTGTATTGCTATCTGTAAATGTTCCATTGTGTTCTGTACTTTGTCTATTTGTTTTATTTTTAAGAATACCAAATATTCAAGTACTTTACAAAGGAAATTCGAAAAATTTCTTTTTGAGTATTCGGCGATCGAGCGGAACTCAATTTAAATTTCTATTGATGTAAAAAAAAAAAAAAAAAATAACGAATGTAAAGAAAAAAAGAAATGTCGTTTAAGAAATCCCAAAAGTTTGTTGAAATTCACCAAATCATTTAACTTATGAAGTCTTTTAACGGAGTTGTAAACAATTCTTGAAAGACTTCATTATTTATTTCGTATCATGATCATTTATTTTTTTCAGAAATAAATTTGTTCGAAGTTACTTCAATATTATTTTCGTGAAAACTTAATCGTTATAATAATGGCTTCGATTTTATTTTTTGTTGTCTGGAAAAATTCATTTTGAATAGTTAGTCAAAAGGTTTAAAATGTCAGGAATATTTTTCTGGAATAGCATTAAACTACTTTTGAACAAGTGTAATAATGTTTACAGTCAGTCTGATTAAAGATTCAGATTCAAGCCACGGCGATTGCTTGCAGAAATGAGAAGATTCAATAGCGATTTTGACAAATTGCATAAATATTTCCCATAAAGAATGCAAGCGGCAGGGGAGATTTATTGATGATTTTATTCCAAATTTATTATTTTTATATTTATGCAAATTTCATGAGTACAAGATTAAAAAAACAATTGATTTTAATTTTTTTTTCTTTTTTTTCTGGCAAGAGAAAATGACAAATTCTTACAGATCAAAACAGTATAAAACAACATTTTTTTTTTCCAATGCAGCTGGCAAACACTTAAACAGCTTGGTCTT